TAAACTTTATTTCTACCATTATAAACCCTAGGTCGTGAAATTTGGCAGAATACACTCAGCATTAGTATCTCATTTGATTGTTCCAAATCGATCTGGTACATGTACACATGCTCTGGAGCGATGGTTGTCATACAGTTCTTCCTACTCACAGTAGGTGGAGTACTTACAGCACTGGGTTTTAACGACCCTTTTGCCAACATTTCAGCCTTTCCAAGACAATCAAAGCCTTTCCATCCAATCTTACATCTGGAAAGGAAAGAAAGACGAGTCTGATGCACCGAAGCTGTCCTGCGCCTGATCCAAGGTTTCTAGGCCTCTCCTACTCCCTGCTGTATCTCACCGTGCTCTCGCCTCACGGTGCCTTCCTGACCGCACACCTGGCGCAGCGGCACGTGCCCAGCTATCAACTCTCACTGTTGAGGCGAGACCGGTCGTCTCCGGTGAGCCACCCACCCAGTGGCGCACGTCGAGACATTCTTGTTGCCAGTAGAAATGTCCTTGTTCCTAGTAGCGATGCCAGGAGCTACTAGCTTCTTGCTGCTTGGGGGAAGCAAGCCCTACTGACTTGGATAAACAATGTTGTCAATTGTTTTTTCACTGGTGTCTTCGCTCTTTTTCAGACGGCCTGTTTCCCTCATGATCCACGAAGCCTTGGTCATGGAATCTGGGCGTTGCTGGGCGAAGGTGTGAAGCGTCCAGAACCTGAGGCAGAATGACACCCGAATCCGGCGAACATTGGTTCCTGCCCTTGGCCCCACCCAAGTCCGTGTGTTTTGTTTGACTTCGCTCGCCAAACCCGCAGGGGCGCGGGGGCCCTCCTTGGAGTGACCGGAGTCCTTATGTGACTTGGCGTCCGTGGGTGGGTTCCACATGGTTCCTGTGCTGACAGCCACCGAAACTGAAGATGAGGGGTTTTCGTCAAATTGACTCTGCCTTTTCCCCAGACCGGCTGGTTGTTCGTCTTTGGACCAAACTGATGCGAGTGACTTCGGCTCATGTCGGAATCAACAAACAACGTGTTGTGCTTGTGGGTATGATTCTTGAAAGCGTCCAAGACAGAAGGTGGAAAGGTTTTGGGTATCTGAATGGCTCTGGTTTCTTTAAGATCAGTCAGTCCACTTAGTTTTGGGTCCCTGGTTTGTTCAAGACAGATGCAAGTTGACCAAACCTTCTTTTCGGCTCTCTCTTTCGGAGTGAACACGTTCCCTGCACACAGCAATCTCTCCCTTCGGGCTCCTGGTCTTGCCGCGGTGTCTTCCTCCAAAAACCATAAACCCATTATAAAACTCAATGGGAAGTGGTATATTGGAAAATCAATGTGGTATATGGCTTTGTGGCTTTGAAAAGACCTCCGGCCCAATCCAGAGAGCGCAAATCAGAGAGCCCTTGCATCCCCACACGTTTTGTTCAACAAATCTAGTCAGGGGGAAGCAGAAAATAGCATGTCACCGATGAACACGGGCTACAACTGCTAACCACCATGGAGACCATGGTCTGCCATGTATCTCTCACCTTTTCTGCCCGGGATAAGATCGACCATCCGCTTCGGGGTGTTCCACCACCCCAAGGCACCCTCCGGCGCAAGAGCTGCTGGGCGCTCGCGTGGCCGATGCCGTCTTCGTGCTGTGGCTCGCCGGCTGGACGGTGATGGCGCTGGACGCCTTCCACCGGGTGCCACGGGCCGAACGGCGAAGTGCATTCGGTTTGAACACGTGGACGTGACTTTTGTAAGGAAGCTCTTGCAGAGGATGTTCAAAGGAATTTGAACAGAGACATAGAAGCCTTGATCCATGCATTCCAGTCTGCAACCGCAGTTTTTTTGTGGAGGCGCCGGATGCGGGGATGACTCCGACCTTGCTCCTTTTCATGTCTGCCGTGTGAGGAGCTTAGCGCCGGAGAACAGCAGACTCAGTGCATCGACCGAGTCACTCGGGGGCCACACGACCAAGCACCGGAGGTGGGACACCGTATCGCACCGAGCAGCGCACCGATGCATCAGAGCGGTGTGTGTCCACCGGGTTTGGCCCGATGCCACCGGGCAGAGCATAGCGGCGGGGCGTTGCATCGGCTGAGGTGCCTCGCGCGGCCGGGTCTCTATGGCTTCGAGCTGGGCGTGCTGAACACCGAGCAGGTGCCGGGCAGTACGTGGCCAAAGATGCCGCGACCGGACCGTGGGTCGATACGTGGGAGAAAAAAAGAACTGGAGCCCTAACATGGTGTAGCTACACCTTCCAGGTATAGGTCAACCAAGGTATCCTGGTGCCATGACCCACAGGCACATTGGATGACGGTGGCACATGGACCATGTAGAGACCCTTCGGACGCACGCCTGTCGATGTCCTTCCGAGCCTCTGGCTCTCACTGACTCGGGGAAAGAGATGATTCCTGATCCCTCCCAGAAGTAGGAGCTCTTCACCTTGAGGCAAACCCAAGACACCAGGAGTCACAGAGCTCGGGGGTGGTGTGGCTCGTCACAGAGCCCCCCGGCTCATGGATGTGATGACAGGGGCACCCCGACTTCCTCCAGGTTCAGCATTCCTGTAGAACTGATTCACTGGAACGTGATCGTCGATGTCATTGCGGAAAAAAGAAAAACAACACATGAACCCTAGCCTTCAAAGACCATTAAAAGAACGGTTGAGCTGACGGTGTTGTGTAAAAATCCTTAAGTAAAGCAATGGTTCTTTGGTAAAGACAATTTTAAAAAAATTGTTTGAATCCTAGGGTGAAAATAAGCCATTTTCGTCCTTGGACAGACCCTGCGGCGGTTAACGTGCCCGGCATGCCCAGGACTTCTCTGATGCTCGACATCGATCTGCCATAGGCGCGGGGCCGGTGGGGTTGGTGGGTCCCCAAAATACGCCGCAAAAAGGATCCAAAACTGTTCGAATGTCGTAAAATCGCACAACCCGAGTTGTTTTAAAGAACAAGACAATGGTTCTATCTTTTCTGTGCACACAGATTCTGACACCAAATCATACCAGATCCACATGCTAAACCCTTTCGAAGTGACTTGGCAGATCACCTCCCATTGATGATAGGCTACAACCCATGCGCTATAGACTTTCTTGTGACCAGCGGCGTGCTTGAGCGAACCAGACGTGCCTCCAATCCTGGCAACTTTCTCACCAGAACGCCCCAAACGACTGCTACGCACTAGTTCGTCCCCATCACCTCTCCTTCATAAGAGAAAAGGTAGATAAAGGTAGCCACGTTTGGAAGCATCTCAGATTTGGCCCATACCTGGCCCTCTATGTGAATTTCAGTTCCTTTTATTCACCCCTCCACGTCCTCCATGGCCCTCGAAAACCCGGACTCCGCGAATGACTCGCTCTCTACCGCGCTGGCCAGGTGCCGTGGATTCGGCGCTCACATCCTTCGCCACCTTGGCGATGTACGGCTCCGGGCTGGTGCTCACGCGCCCCGCCCCCCTGGACTGCAGTCGGACCACCGAAACGGGCTTGGTGTCAAAGCGAGAGAAACAGGTCATACACGGTATGGGCCGTGTCTTTTCGTGGACTTCATGACCCTTCTACTCATGTCAGTATCCATCTTTCAGCGCAATAACAAACCTTCTGAAGAAGCGACATGCAAAGACCATCAAATGATTGAAGTCAAATAGAGGCGAAGGAATCCCAAAGGGATGGGCAACATCTACGGATGTGGATGAATACCTCTGAGGCTAAGCTGCCAGAATCTATGTGGTGGTAGCCCAAAACCCTTCTTGACGGCCTCGTTCTGGGTGGTTCTTGAAGTCATTTTGCTCCATCCCTTGATGTTGTTCGGTGGTCGAGTCTATTGACGATCCGTTGACCGACGCTTGGACGATCCGTTTGAAGTTCCTTGGACGAGTGGTCAGAGTCGGGTGTGACCGCAGTTGCGCTTCTTGGGTGTGATTTCTGTGTCAACAAAGAGACCTTACCCTTTTCAACCTTACCCTTTTCGCTTGATACTAGACATCCTTGCATGATTTCAACTGATTTCTGTGGTCGCTTCGACTCCACCGAAACGTCGGAACGTGAAACGTCCAGAAGTCGCAAGACCTTTGGAAGACCCTTCCAGCTTCCTCCAGAAGCCGTGACCTCGCTCGTCGGTCTCCACCGTTGACCCCGCACGTCGCTCGGTGACGTCGACCACGTCGCGGAGACTCGTCCGCTTTTAGGATCAGTTCGTGGTGCTGGTCGACGGCTCCACCCTCTTCGTCTCCCTGGGTGCGGCCACTTACCTGTGCCCTGGCAGAGAAAGAAGGTTCGTTTTAATTCGCGACCGGTGCTTTCTTTCTTCGGGAGCGGCAGTGGCGGCAGCAGCAAATGAGGTGAAGAAACAGCATGGGATCCTGAGGATGTGCAAACTCCAGTCTAGTAATTAGGGATCAAGGATGGTGAAAGAAAATAGGATTTCCAAACTTCCGCATCCCGAGCTAATATGTCTTGGGCTTCAAGGAATACAAGTGAAAGCCCCTGAGAAAGCTCTGAAACAAAGTTCAAAGTTCATGGACACCGGATTCAGCTTGAATAGCGGACGGAACCCCTCATCTCAGTTTGTAAAGCCACCAAGGGTGTTTTGCCTTCGCCCGTAGTCGAGAAGAGACCTCAGTTGAGCATCACAAGAATTCCCACAGAGCTCCGCAAGGAATTACTAGCACCCCAAAAGACTCCGTCATCTCCCAAAGTCCAACCGGCGCCGACAAGAGCTCCGCCACATCAACCCACACCCGAGTCCCGCTGGCCGCAGAGGATTTGTGAAGTAGCTCACAGCGTGTTTTTTGGCAAGTGTCAGGTTGAAATAACCACCCCCCGCAGTTTGAATGAGTCATTTTAAGCACACCAAATCTGTATAGCCATAGGTTTTTCTGGGGGTTCATCGGTTCATCACCGTGTTTCAGATGTTTTTGTGTGCCATGTGCTTTCTGAGGGTGTGGCTGCTTTTGTACCATTCGCACAAGCACAGGCCGTGGTTGATGCTCGTGGGTTGGTTGTGGATCTGCTGAAGCAGGCAGACAAGATAGTGCACATAAAGGAGAGCCCTCGAACTGCCTTCCAATTAATTAATTATGTAATTGTAGGACAGTTGCTTGTTTTCATCCAATCTGCATCGCTAGTTATTTCCAAGGATACCTTTTTTGTTGTGGTTGGTTCCTGTTTTCTGATTGTGCTGGCATAACAAATTCATGACTCATTCCTTTCTCAGCCAAAAATCGAGTTTTTGGCCCTTGCCAGGCACAGCACGCCCGGCTCGCCCGTGTCAGGCGACACGCGGAGACACGGAGAGTCGAGTGAGAGGGCTTTGGTCACCAGAAACTTGGATCCCAGGCTTCGGTGAAGGGATACAAGACACGTGATCATCAGCTTTTTGGTTGGGTGAAAACCCCGTCGTTTCCTGTAGGATGTTCCATTTCCAATATTTTTCATATCCTTTCCACTCTGTAATTAATATACCCCATTTGATTGGAGTGTCTCCCCCAACGGGTCTTTGTTTTGTTTGGAATGCGGCTTGGAACTCGGTGCTTGGGACTCGGTCGCACTGTGTGAGTGGCGTCCGACAGCATCCTTCGTTCCGCCTGACTGCAGCGAAGATCCCTCTCTCTCTCTCTCGGTCTCTCTTGCTTGCTTGGCAGGCCGTGAGCATGGCCATGAGCATGGCCACGGCCACGAGCATGGCCACGACCATGATCATGAGGAACATTCCCATACGCTGCAGCAGGAGGAGGCCCAATCAAACCGTGGCTCCAAAACCGGTTCATCGTGGCTGGTAAAGCACATGGTGGCTCCAAAAACCGAGGGGGGGTCCAAAACCTATGAAGTTCAGATTTGCTTTTCCAAAACCAGTTTGTGTTTGAGAAGAGACGATTTTGTCACTGCTTCTGCGGAACAGACCAGATGATCTTTCTTCGACCCGAAAATCCCGGACCTTCCAGGGCTCTGTAGTGCCACCCCGATGTATGGAGGAGATGTTCGACCTCACGGAAGTCTTGCGGAGGAAAGCTAGGTCACATGCACAACATCGAAACCTTCAGGAAGACTGAGACAGAGGTATGTTCTCAACCCGCAACACGTCAGCATTGTTTTTTTGGGGGAGGGACTCCAGTATGGTGCCGGACCGATTCGCAGATGGCGATGAGAGGTCGCATCCTTCCTGCCTGGAATCATTGTACTTGCCTTTGTGCATTTGCCGCTGATCTTTCAGCTTGCTTTAGATTCAGGACGAACGTGATCTGAGCACCGCCAAGAACGAACGAACACAAGATACCATCAGGCCGTGCATTCGCTGGCACATGATTGACTATCCAAGCTGTCGAAACACCGAAAGAGGCAAAGTCTTTTGATGTTGAAAACAAGCTCCAACTGGATCAGTGCAGCTAGCAATTGATCAGAAGTCCGTCTCCAAAAACTCTTCTGACTGAACCCACAGTTTTAGATAGTCTCTCAAATTGCAATAGGTCGTCCACTAGATCAGCGGTCATGGAAACTGGATGAACCGCAAGAGAATCCCCCTGTCCCCTCACCTAAGTGTGAAGAGACAGCAGTCTCCAAGAAAGCCACCCAGCTGCACTGCGCAACCCACCTAACACCCCCGTCACCCCAACACAACAAACTCAGCCAGCACCACAAATCAGCCAAACCAGCCTCGCTTTCAAGCCGTTGTCCGGTGGCCGTGCGGCCATCCAGAGCGCTTGGACGTCGCAGCGGTGGCGTCGCAGCGAGTCGTCCACGGATGGCCTCATGGCGCTCCTCAGGCGAGAGGACACTCGAGTCGCTCCAACGGGACTTTGGATGGTTCCAGCATCCCTTCCCCCCGGCTGCAGTGCTGCAGAATTTGTTGGATGGATACGGGGAATGGGGGTCTGAAGCTTCTGCGCACCTTGGCCACAAAATTAGGTTGCTCTTTTGCAGCATCATGGCCAGTACCAAGGAGTCTTCTCGACAACAAGGACCAATGACTTGGAATTTTGGCTGATCCAATTCCAGCAGCACGAGTTGCGCCGTTCAAGTCTAGCTCCGCACCATCCCACCGCGTCAGCCGGCCGTTTCGACTCCGAAACCGCTGGAAGACGAGCCCGCCCACGGGAGCCCGCCAACGGTTCTCAACGGCGAACCATTTCGCTCATCTCTTTCACCGATGTCCTACAGCTCCGTTTCGCATCCCAAAGATCCCAAATGGGAGACGGCTGGAATCGATCCAGCTTCAACGGTTTCGGGTTGGGGCCGGATGGGGCCGGGACCGAGCCAACGTCTGTCTCCAGGCTCATGCTCTTGGGCCAGGCCTGGGTGGGAAGATGAGCAGTGCAAGAAGTCGCCCAAAGTGACCAGAATCAGCTTCTCTGCGAAAGCCATTTTGGCTCTCACATGTTTGCATTTTCGTCCTAGAGTGCTTTGGGGCCAATTTTTCCATGGAGATTACACTACTCTCAGGTGCCACTGTCATCCAGCTTCATGAGGAGGAGTTGGGCTAAGACGCTCTTGGCCCGTCGGCTTGGGTACTCAAGATTTCGACAAAGACTCTTCAGTGAAGACATTGGCGAGTTACAGGATGAAATGCCGCTAAGACAGCTAGCACGTGTGCAAATGGTAATCCTGGACCTCTATGCGCCTGAGGAGGGCGTGGTATGGCAGGAACTACGCCTTGCATGTGAGAACAATCAACTGAGCGACGTGACAAGGTTGCTTCAGAAACAAATTTGGGGGAGGTGCCGGCAATGAATTATCACCTCTGCATCTTGCAGCAGAACAGGGCCACTTGGAGGTGGTGCGGTTGTTGCTTGAAGCTGGAGCTGACATAAAACTGCAACAGCAGATGGGGCAACCCTTTGATGTTTGCGGCTGAGTCTGGCCACTCAGAGGTGTTGCAGTTGCTGCTCGAAGCTGGAGTTGACAAAAATGCGGCAAAGATGACCAACGGGGCAACTGCTTTGCTTCTTGCATCTGAGAATGGCCACTTGGAAGCGGTGTGGTTGTTGCTGGAGGCTGATGCTGACAAGCATGCGGCAACGGACGATGGTGCAACAGCTCTGTGGGTTGCAGCTGCGAGAGGCCACTTGGAAGTGGTGCGATGCTTGCTGGACGCACGACCTGAGGATGCTGCAACGGAAGATGTGGAAGGAGCTGTGTGGCTTGCATTTTGGAAGTGGTCCGGTTGTTGCTCGAGGCTGGAGCTGAGAAGAATACAGCAAGGGCCAATGGGGAAACTGCTTTGATTCTTGCAGCTGCGCAAGGCCACTTGGAAGTGGTGCGGTTGTTGCTTGAGGCCGGAAGTGACAAGAATGCAGCCCAGGATATTGGGTCCACTGCTTTGATTTTTGCTGCACAGAATAACCACTTAGAAGTGCTGCGGTTGTTGCTCGAAGCTGGAGCTGACAAGAATGCAGCAAGGAAAGACGGGGCAACCGCCTTGATTTTTGCTGCACAGAATAGCTGCTTAGAAGTGCTGCGTTTGTTGCTCAAAGGTGAAGAAAATAAACATGTGGCAAGGAAAGATGGGGCGGAAGCTCTGTGGGTTGCAGCTTCCTGTGGCCACTTAGAAGCGGCGCAGTTGTTGCTCGAAGCTGATGCTGGCAAAGCGAAATGCAGCAATAGCGCTGTTTGCTGCAGCTCAGGAAGGACAATTGCAGGTGGCTCGGATGTTTCTCAAGGCTGGAGCTGACCCGAATGCGGCAGCGGAAGATGGTTCAACCCCCTTGATGGTTGCGGCTCAGTATGGCCACTCAGAGGTGCTGCAGTTGTTGCTCGAAGCTGGAGCTGACAAAAATGCGGCAAAGACAAACGGGGTAACAGCTCTCCTTGTTGCAGCTCAGAATGGCCACGTGGAAAGTTTGTGGCTGTTGCTTGAGGCTGGGGCTGACAAGCATTCGGCGAAAGAACATGACGCAGGCTTTGTGGGTTGCAGCTTGGCATGGACACTTAGAAGTGGTGCAGCTGTTGCTGGGGCTGGAGCTGACATCATTGCAGCAAAGCAAAACGTGGTTAGTAGTAGCTCTGTTTGCTGCAGCTGAGAAAGGCCACTTGGAAGTGGTGCGGTTGTTGCTCAAGGCTGGAGCTGACAAGAATGCCACAGCGCAGGATGGGGCACCCCTCTTGTTGGTTGCAGCTGAGAATGGCCACCTTGAAGTAGTGCACTGTTTGCTCGAGGATGGAGCTGAGAGGAATTCAGCCAGGGCAGATGGGGCAACCGCCTTGCTCGCTGCGGCTCAGTATGGTCACTCAGAAGTGCTGCGGTTGTTGCTCGAAGCTGGAGCTGACAAAAATGCGGCAAAGACAAACGGGGCAACTGCTTTGTTTGTTGCATCTGAGAATGGCCACTTGGAAGCGGTGCGGTTATTGCTCGAGGCTGGAGCTAACAAGAATGCGGCAACGACGATGGTGCAACAGCTCTGTGGGTTGCAGCTGCGAGAGGCCACTTGGAAGTGGTGCGATGCTTGCTGGACGCACGACCTGAGGATGCTGCAACGGAAGATGTGGAAGGAGCTGTGTGGCTTGCATTTCAGAATAGCCAGTAGGAAGTGGTGAGGTTTTTGAACCCATCACGACTTCAAGGAAAAGCACAATAGAAGCTATGTTTGCTGCAGCTGACGAAGGACACGAAGTTGTCCGGATCTTTTGCAAGGCTGGAGCTTTCCGTGCGACAGCGAATGAGGGGTTAACCCTCTTGATGGTGGCACCTAAGAATGGCCACTTGGAACTGGTGCGCTTTGTGCTGACGCTTGGGGCTGACAAAAATGCAGCAAGGGCAGATGGGGCTTCTCAGTGTGTAATGGTATTTTAGTGTGGCTTCCGACCAATCAATATAGATGACAATGACAACCTTGAATGCAAAAAACCTCTGTGATCTCTGTGTGTGTATGCGTGCTAATGATAATGTTTCACTTGGTTGATACAGGAAGAAGATCTTGCACCAAAACGGAGGGCAAGAAGTACCGGCGTGTTCTTTCGCCTAGGTGGTGCCAAGGTTCTTGCTTTCATCAACAGAAGGATATAAAGAAGTATTCTAAATACCGCACTATACCGACAGCCAGGTCCTTGGCCAGCAGAGCCGCTTTGGCAGAAGGGTGGAAAACACAGTCAGCCGGTCACTGTCGGGAAGCATGACTGGGGAGAAGAGAACGACTCCCTTTCGCACCCCGAATCTGGTGGCAGAACCAGATGTTGCCAGATCCCCGGACGAAGGACGACAGTGGTCACCTTCCAATGTGCTCCTTGTGACTTCTTCTGGTCCGAGCATACCGACACCGAGCAATCCGACCGGCGGTCCTCAACGATTCTACCGGTCCGGACGAAGCGGTCCTAAACTCGAGTGCGACCTACGTAGCTTTTTGTTACTAGCAGCGATGGCCTCCAACCTACTTGCGATGGTGGAGGCCCCTCCTGTTCTCAGATATGTGTCAGCATTCCTGCACCTGATGGGCCCAAAAACAGCTCTTCTCAGGTGGCTTTGTAAATCTGCACCGGTGCAGAGAACCCCGCCTTCATCGGTGTCGATCTTGCCCCAGGTACCGACCCCGAGGAGGCAGCGTTCAGCGCGATCGGCGTACGTTTGGCAATCGGCACGTGAGAAAGTTTCACTGACGCCTTTGGGAGTTGTGCTTTTCATCCGGAAACTGTTTGGGGAAGTGGGTCTTCATGGGCCAAGTACTCACAAGGATGAACTATGGGTGGAGCAGACTCCGAGGCAGACTGGGAGGTGGTGGATGGCGGGAGAGAGCTTTCTCCAAACTCTTGAACCTCTCACCAACTGTGGTGGGTCTCCCGAACCAACACGCAGAAGGTGGGTCTCCCATCCCGGCTTCGTGTCAAAGCCCACCATCCCGGTGGTATGTCTCTGCCATCTCTAAAACCAAGTTTGTCTCGAATGTATGTTGTCTTAACACCCCAGCACACCCCGGACCTCACAACAGCGTCCTCGTGCTCGTCACACCTCGTGCTCTCCACACCGGTCCAACGGCGTCGAACCGGCCAGCCTACGTGTCGCAACGGCCTCCACCGTGCGTAGCTTCTAGATACCAGAAAGCTTCAAAGACATACTAGTTACTAGAAAGATCTAGAAAGCCTTATTGCTACTAGTAGCGATGGCCTCCAACCTAAGAGCTTCTTGCTACAAGTAGCGATGCCCGGGTTCCGTTCGTAGCGATGGCCTCCACCCAGGCCTTTGGCCGACGCGCTTGCAAGTTCCGCCCACTGCCCACCAGCCTGGCCGACGGCGGGACCGGACGTGGCATGAGTCGTATGTGGCATGAGTGGGTCTATATCGGTGCGTCGCAGATCATTCTTCAGGTGGTGGTCTCTATAGAAGAGGGAAATTGAAATCTCTTCTCCACTGGAAACGTGGCTCCACGGGTTTTTGACGTCGACCCATTTCACATCGACCCATGAGTCGAAATGAAAGCCCACACGACCCATGAGGATGTCCCTCCGAAATCCGAATGATGGAAAGCTTCTGGAGCAAACCGACCCCATCCACTGACCCTTCTCCACCAAAAGCACTCCCTCTCCACACCTAACTGCCCAGGGGCTTCCTGACCCTTCGTCCAGGCTACACCACGGCCGAGGGCTACCGGGTGGCGGAGACCTTCGGCGTGCCGCTGGCGGTGCTCCTGGGCGCTGGGCCGCTGGGAATTGAGTGCGTCCGTCGGTCGGCTGCGTCCGTCGGGTCCTTTGGAGTGCAAAAGGTGTTTAGCGATGCACTTGTTCCTAATAGCTTCTTGTTACTACTAGTAAGGCACTTGTTACTAGGTACTTAATGCTCTTGTTACTAGTAGCAGTGCCCTTGTTTATTGTGTTTAGTAATAGATGTTTTGTAGTCTAAGGGAGAGATGAATGGAACTGATGAAGAGCAGTGGCCATTCATTGAACAGTGCAAGCTTGTGTCCAAGAAGCTCACGGGGCTCCTGCTTGACCTGAAAACTGGTCCACCGCAGGTGCCGGGACAAACATGGGAAGTCCCCGGTGACTAGACATTTGTCTGTGCGGTTTGTGCGGTTTCCACATCCAAGTTAGTGACCATTCAACTACCCAAACACCACACCTACATTCCAATCCTTCCCCACCCCAGTTTTCGCTGTTTCGTGAAAGATGTGAAAAATGTCCAACCACCACAGGATCACCTACCTCCCACCCTTCCCACCCTACGCTGAAGATTTGAAGTCTAAGTGTCCCTAAAAATCTATTAAAGGAACCTAATCATGAGTGCGAGCGCGTCTTCAAGGAAGCTCCCCCCGAGCTGTTTGGATCAAGCCCACTCAGCTTACGCGCCGGCACGCGCTGCGGCAAGGTCACCTCTACTCACGAGGGGTCTTGCGTCTACAGAGCTGAGCTGCCCCAAGCTTGGCAGTGCCATGGGTACTAAGGACATGGGTTCAAAGCATGAGCTACATGTCGATGGAGCGTTGATACACTGGGCCACTGCGAGCCTGCCTTCGTCCTTGGCCGTGTCAGTCCAAGACGCTTTGAAGGCCATAGCTGCCACAGGTACATGTGAAGATGACCTTGCTGAGTGGATCCTTTTTGGTGAAGTCGTACTGGTACATTGTGGTCCACCCAAATGTGTACAAGTGCGCCGAACCTCCATGCTCTTTCAAGATGATGTGCTGGCCAATGATGGCTGGAAACAATTTGAGGTCTGCTGTCAAGCCGATCATGCCCGTGTTGACTTCACACCTGGAATGTTCTTGGGCCTCCTCACGAAGCCCTCCCACAGACCGACTGTTGGCAAAGTGACAGCCGATGAGCACGTGCTGATTTGGAACATCTCGATGCTAGACCTGAATCTCGCTTGGAACGTCTCTCACCTGTTCTCAGGGGCGTACGAAGGCTGGTTGAGATCGATGTGCTGGTTGCAGCATGCCAATGTGGGACAGGCCTTTGCAACTCACACGTCCATTGATTGGTGCCCGGATGTCATGAAAACGTGGGCCTACAATCACAACAAAGAATTCTGGTGTGGACCGATTAAGGAGACATATAATCCTGCTGATACATACAATGGGATTTTGGCAAATATTTGCGACCCATCAATCCTGCGTGCTACAACGAACAAGTCCAACCTGGTGCTTACCTTATCACCTCCTTGCCCCAGCTGGAGCAAAGGTGGCAAAAACTCAGGACTTGCGACTGAGGAAGGCTTCCTTTTCCTCGATGCAATTCAGCATGTTGCTCGCAGCAGGCCTGTTCTGGCTTTGTTCGAATGCTCCGATGGTATTGAAGCGCACCCCCATTGGCGGGTGCTCTCTGCTGGACTTCAGCTCGCAGGATATGTCAAGTTGTGGTCACAAGATGTAGCCATCCATCAACTCACCGGTAACCACAGGACCCGCTGGCTTGCCGTCTGGGCTCGAAAGGATGTGAAATGCCAAAAGTCCCACGAGAGGATCTTGTGTCATCAGCAAAGAAGGTTGGCATGGGATGATGCACTACACCTCTTTGGCTTACCCGAAGCCTTGTATTCTGACCTCACTTTGCCAAGTGAACTGACTACGATCTATGGGGACAAAAAGTTCCTTCCACCGGCCAAGCGAGCGAAAGTTGGCGAGAATGCAACCGCTGTGCAGGTATTGTCCTCCAGGGCAATACAGCCGGGTGATTACCTGCCCACTTTGTGTGCCTCTTACACAGCACAGCATAGTCTCCAACGTGAGCATGTCGAGGAGAAAGGCATCTTTGCAGCACTTTTGCATAGAGGTGCTGGCTTCCAATTCATTGACCCTTTTGTCTTTGTGTCGCTCTTTGGGACTACTGATTGCATCGCTTTACTAACTGATATTCGACGTGCCTTTCATCAGCTGGGGAATGCCATTTCACAGTTGCATGCTTTGGTAGCTTTTCTTTTTGCCCTTGAAGGTGTCTCAGACGAACAAATCCCCAAGTTGAAGCTTGTTCGCCAGTGCTGGGAAGATAGGCTGACTTCCGATAATGCCATTGTTCGTACTTGCGGTGACATGTACGTGCTCCAGCCCATTGCTGATTTTGCGGCCAAAGCCATTCCTAGCATCAGAACATGGCAGCCTTGGCTAGTTGGAAGCACCCTGATTCGCTTTTGTGATGATGCCGCACTCATCCCGATCAATGTTCAGAAGGATGGCAACATCATTGAGCAATTACTTCATGCTCTTCAGCTGGAATCGCACCATGTAGGACAGCTCAAGCTCGCCCGGGATGGACGAGACCTTCCCAAGGGCACTGGATGGAATAAGTTGTCAGATGGGGATTTTCAGCTCAGATTGGGTTCTGCTGACCTTGGAACGCTGCGGGTCATTTGTGTGAACAGTATAGATCAGCTCGAGGACCCCATTGTGTCCCCCACGCAACCATGGCACTTTGATGAGGCCGATCTGGAGTTTGATCATTTGGTTGAAACCAATAGCAATGGGTTCCTTCATGTGCTTGAACATCTCTGCCAAGATGCCAACCCGGTACATGTTGGTAAGGTGCTATTCCTCCTACAAGATGGTTCTTTTGAATGGATTCACATGGCGAACCTGGAGCGTATCGGCAGCATTCCAACCTTTCGCTTTCAAGGAGCTCCGATCCACTTCTTTCAAATCAACCGAGAAGCTTGCCGAGTCATGTTGGGAACACAGGTGGTCATTGCCATCCGTGGTGAGTATGACCCTCTTGCAAATGGCAAGTGGGTCTTGTTGGCTGGTGGCTCTGATCTCAAATGGTGTAAAATCACCCAAGTACCACGTGGGCTCACTCCAGCGCAGTGTGCAATTGAGCTCCAGCAGCATTGTCAGATTATCCAACGTAATCTGGTTCAGTGTCGACAGGAACAACCATTGATGCTGATTAATGGGGACCTTCTTTGGTGTGACGTCCGGGTGCAGCAAGCTTCCACTATAGTGTTCGGTGGTATGGACCGACTCACTGATCATCCAAGTTGCAATATCCATGGAGACCGAATAACTGAAAGGCTCCTCCAATTCAACCTTGAGCCAGGTGCACTTGCAGTAGATGAGATTGTCTTTCACTTCGATGTGTTGCAAATTCTGATGCCTTCGATTTGTTGGTGCCCTCCTGCGATGTGGATCAGCAATGAAGCTCAATTCCGATTCCCTCACGAACCTGCGGACTTGTGGCTATGTTTTCAGCACTTCGTGGTACCGATCCTGGTGCTCTTTGACTGGATCTTCGTCGAGGTGAGGTTCTTTGAAGGGCAATGGAGAGTCCTCTATCATTCACCTGAGCAATTGACGCACAGACAACGTCAAGCGGTGCTTGAGCTCATACATTACATGGGGATCCAAGTGATGCCCAATGCTTTTCGGTGGATACGTACTGCTGAGGACTCCGACTTGGCCTCGTGGTACACACTCAGAGGATTCTTTGCCAGGGCAGGAGCGCCGCTTCTTCCTCAGACCCATAGAACCACCCAAAGGCTGCAACGTGTTCAGCACAACCACCATGTGATGCAGGTGATTGATCAGGCTGACTTGGTATGGAGGGATTCTCAGGTTGATGATCGAATGCTGCAATTTGCCCGTGCTGGTAGGAATGCATTCCTGGTTGCCATCCTTGAAGCGCCGAGTCGAGCAGATGATTTGATGCTTCGTGCCACAGGAAGACCTCCTTACGACTATCACATCAATGAGATCTTCTTTGTTGCTGATGAATGGCTGGAGATGAGAATGAATATTTACAGGACACATCCTGGATGGGCTTCCAATGATGAACTTGAATTTGCAATGACATTCTTTTTGCCTGACTCCTTTTGTCCACCGGTGCTGCATCATGATTTGTCCATCATTGCGGCCAGTGTCAAGCCCCTCTCTCAAGAAGTGCAAAGGTTCATTGCGCTTCGGGAAGGGCACTGGATTGGCATCGAGGTCATCTGCAACGCCACCGAACATACATGTCGAGTGGTCTTCTTGCAAGTACCACCACGGGACCAACAGTTTTGGGCCACTTTTGCTGAAGACTTCATTGTCCCAGTTGGGTTTCGTCCAATTATCATTGTCGATACCAATCGTACTTGGCCTGGTATGTGTGGTTAGGAACTACTCCATCGCTGGATTGTTGTGGACTTGTCGTTGCCAGACACTTTCCATATTCCGCAACAGAAGAGGCTGCTCATTGATCAGATCTTGGATGAATCCAATCTGGCATGGAGAGTAGCGCGCGCTCCACCTATGCTTCGTACCTTTGCTGAAAATATGAGGAGGCTCTTTTTGGTGGTTGGCGGGCAACGATTGATGCACCCATGCTCAGCACTTTCCCTTGGAGGAATGGAAGGGTCGACTCCGTCAGATGCTGCGATGGTCTCTCCTGATCCATGGCAGTTTGATGACCCATGGAAGTCCAACAAGAAGTCCGTCAGACAAAGTAAATGGGAAGATCTCCAGCTCCAGGCTGACCACCCGTTTGTTGACAAAAGCAAGACGCCTGTGGCATTCGTCCAAAAGGAGCAGCTCTCCACCAACAAAGGAGGGATTGCCTTCGTTTCCAAAGGGAATTTACAACATGCTCGTGAAGTTGTTCCGAAGGAGCCATGTGCGTTGTTGCTACCAATGATCGATCCCATGGACCCATTGGCAAAAATCGCCAATTTGACAGGTCCCTTCGAAGTCATTGTGTTTGACCCGGCCTTGAACCAGGAGTACAAGAGGCAAG